CTCCTTTCTGGTTTAAAGTTAGAATTTTAAGAATATATTTAAAGGAAATGTCAAACTTCATGGTCCCCAAGAGCTCTTCATCTGTCAGCTTCCAAGTTAATATGATGCCACTTTTTCCATCCTGTTCTTTTTTTTTTTCCCCTCATTGTTACACAAAATGTAGATGTGGATCCCTCAGGAATAAGGCAGAACAATGAGCATGTGAAAGCTTTGGCTTTCATGAAAGCTGAGAGTTACCACTGTGGGAGCCCCGGGACAGCAGTGCTGATCAAATGGGGACCTAATCAGGAGTGAAGCTCAAGGGGAAACACAGCAGGGAAGGATGATAAAACCTGTTCTTATTAGTACACAGTGTATATGCAGTGTCCTGTTTTGCTTGTTAGGGAACTGGCTGATGAGTGCAGGTGCTGCTGTCTGGATTCGAAGATCTGCAGCTGGCAACTGTCATGTGTACTATCGTACATACAGATGGGGGTGTGTGAACTATCCTGGGTTATCATGGCAAGAAGATAAAATGTCCTTTGGACTTTACATACCTGGACAGAAGAGACAGACTTTCCTGGTTTACCATAACAAATTCTTCTCATCCCCTACACCAACCCTCTGATTTTTCTTAAGTATTCCTGTTTTGGGCAAGGGTGAAGGGCTGTTATTTATTCCCATACTCTTCTTAGTTTTTACTGTTTTCAGAAGTAATCTTCATTTCACTCTTCCTGGACTGACAGAGTGGTTACAATCGTGCTCTGTATTGTTCGCAGAAGAGTTTTGTGATTTGTAAGGGACAGTGGAAGGAGAGACCATCAGCTTGTGTAAGTTGTGTCTGGTCAAGGAACATTTGAGTGCCATAAGGGGATAAAAAAAAGGGGGTAATAAATAGGAACATTTTAAGGCACAAATCTGTTGAACCAAAACATAAGGGAAGTAGATAAAAGGATTAAACCTGATCAGTCACTTATTGAAGAGGGTATGTGGAATGTAGCTGTCCTTGGTCCCCAGCTAGAAAAGGAATTGTTTTGTCTACGTACTCTGTGAAGAGAGCTTACCAACACTTAATGTGAAGCTCAGAGCTACACACCTAGGCAGCACAGAATCTGAAAAATATTAAAGCTAGAACTTAAGGCTTCAGTATCATGCAGAAAAATAATTTCCTTTTCAGTATGCAGTCATGAAGAGGAAACATGCAGCTGATGATTTCTGGTCACCCTGAGGTAGGGTTTTATACAGTATGCCCATCAGATTGGCCTTATGTAAAGCCTTCTATGGACTGTGCACAAGAATACTCCTGAAGTATTAGTTTGCTTTTAAAATACAGGCCTTTTGTGGGCTACAGGATAGATGTAGTTTATTCTCTGAATTTGAGGTGGAGGGTATGGAGTAGTTCTTGTGTTTCGCAGGACAATTAAGTAGAAATATATAGGGAGTTGGAGAAGAAAATTATTTTCAGATATTTGCAGTAATTGCTTTGGTAATAATTCCCTTCTGTGATGGTTGATAATCAGTGTGTGGCTAAAGTATTTATAATTTTAGTGAAGTATTTATAATTTTAGTGGAAAAACATCTCAAAGGGTCTTGTCTTGGTGAAAATACCTTGTTTTTCCCAAATAAAATGGAAAAGCTTTCAGATAAAACATTACTGCAAGAAACATATACAGAAATAGAGCAAACACTTCTAAATGGTATTTTGCAAACAGGCACACTCTGTATTCACCTTTATACCATTACAATAATGAGAGTTTATGGGGTGTACAGAGGAGAATGACACAACTATACTGTGTATATCAGTGAAATGATAACTTTTGGGAATGTCAGTGAAATGCCAACTTTTAGGGATGAGATACAGGTTTTAGTGGCCTGACGTATGCTGCTTCTTTTACTAGTAACAGTCTGATTACTTTGTCCTGATAATGCTTTCTTTAAATATGAAGTAATCTGTATTCCTGTTCATTGTACTCTTTTGGTTCAGTGTATTCTAAAGGGCAGTGAGTTTATCTTTTTAGTTAAAAGCTAAGTGGAGTATTCTTGATAACTGGCATTCAGTCTGTTCTTGTTGTGTCTTGGACATGAGAAAAATATATAGCATATGACTGGAAAAATTAGCAGTAGTCCCAGAAGATATTTTGAGTACTAACAAGAAACATTAAGAGCCGTTTGGGATTTAGAGACTTCTTGTCATTGTGGAAAGTATCATATATTCCAGATGTAAACTACTGAAATTAATGACCAGTAATAATAATGTAGACTGAAAAAACTGTCTAAAATACTGTCAATATATAGTTATTCCACATGCTGATTGAAAATAACATGAAAACAAAATTATACAGGATATGTGTCTCTTATTAGTTCCTTGTACTTTCCTGCTTGTTAGTATTATCTTGATACAATTACTATATGAGAATTGGTTTCTTAATAAAAACTAAGACAAAACACCAAGGTTTGTATTGGGGTTTTTATAGAGTCTGTTTGCAATAAGTTGAACTTAGCTTTAAATTACTTATTTTTCAGTACAGAAGAAGACACAATTACATTTTAAATCTCTGTTCATGTAGTTCCAAGACATTGTTTTACCTTTATTTTCTTTCTAATGTGAAACAATTTTGAGTAAAATTACTGTTGCTTACTACACAGGGCAGTTAGCACTTACGGAGTTGGAATTATCTGTGAGAGTTAGTAATCTGGAGTGGTGATGAAGGCAAACTACTTAGCAGTTTACATCTTCACAGTCTTTGAAGTGATGCACTCCTGATGCAACAGGAAAAAAATAGTAGAAGAGCTGTTTTTGCAAAGTAGACTGCTTTCTACAGGGCAGGGTATATTAGTGTTGATGCTTGGGAAGGGTGTCCCATTTAAATTAGGGTAGTTGCAGTGGGAGATCCCCAGCCAAAGGCACGTATAGATTGTATTAGGACAGGAGTGGTTATTGTATTCTTTCAAGGTTTTGTTTTGTGCTAGCTTCACTAAATCCACTTTTTTTCTTCCTCCATTTTACATTTTCTTTTGAACTTACAAAATCCCAGCATACCTAATTTACCAGAACTTTTATTAGCCATCTTCCTCTTCGAATAAGCTTAGTCATCATGGTGTAAAAAGTTAGGCCACAAATCATCCTTCTCTCACTCTTGTAGCATAGTTCCTTTAAGATTTGTCCTTTGTGAGTTCTCTGAAGTCTGATAAAATACATGTTTTCACAGAAGCTGTGCTCTCAAGGCACTTAACTGGGTATCTCTTCCAGTTTGGTGTTTTTTTCTTTCTTTTTTTTTGGTGCTGAGCTTCTCAGGACTAATAACCTTCTGGAAGAGTCACCCTTTACCTGGACATGTACTGTCATAAACCATCAGGTGCATACCTGCCTTTTGACCTATTTTTATCTAAAAAATTAAAGTGCAGTTAGTTAAGGAGTTCAGAAGAGATTGAGCAACAAGCAGATGCATGCATTATCAGGCTGGTTCTCTAAGGAAGCTGACTGCTTTAGGTAAGATACAGTAGGGGAAAACCACAACCTGTGTTAAAGTATTTGAGGACAAGAGACTGAAAAGGTATAAAATTTTGTAAAGAATGGCCTCAAATCAAAGAGAGGAAAAATACCTTTTGTCTCTTGAACACCTGGACGAAACTTTTCATTCTTAAGAGGAGTGTCCTTGCACTGCAAAGAATGCTGGCGTACAAACTATATGTTGATGGAAACCTACCAAGAAGCAACTAAATACAGTTCAGAAAATAAAATGCCCCTGTAAAGCTAAGAGCCAGGAGAGGTCCAGAGTCCAGTCTACAATTAAGTCTGAAGTGAGACCTCTGACACTCTATGGGGAGGAGACAGTTCTGGAACACAAAGCTGTTGCAGACAAGTTGTTTTCTCTGCTTCAGCTATCTGCAATTACATGCAAATGTAATTGAAATAGTGTGGTGGTGGCCTGAAACGGAAGTGGTGGACAAGCTGGAGGGCAGCTAAATACTACAAGTTTGCTTGCACTAGGAATTCTGTCAGAGAAGTTCTTGTGATGCTTGGACTCAAGGATAACTCTAGTGGTAGTTCATATGGTTTTAGTTTTTTGTTCAGTTGCTGATCTCTGAAGTATGATGTGTAGTTTTCTGTATTTTCAGTTGTCATGTCTATTAACAGAATGGTGTGTTTTAATTTTGGCAGAATAGTGGGGTGGAGGGGAGGGATGTTTATTGCATTTTCTGCTGGCTTCATAGGCATTACTATCACGAATTCATTCTGAAGAAGAGCAACAGCTGTATTCGATACCATGGACATTCAGTGAAAGTTGTGTTCATGGCCAGCTGGGAAAACATTGCTTGGAGGTGAATGACCTTCATATCATTAGTGCTGGAAATTTCAGGCACTGTGTAGGCCTTGTGGAGTTTTAATGAAGTTTAAGTTTTAACTGGGGATTGATGTTTGTTTTTTTTTCAGGTTATGTGTATGAATGGTTATGATTACATGAATAACTAGAAGGATGAAGCATCTCTGTGTTGAGTTAGCAGAATTAAAATTGGCTGCAGTACAGAGCAAATGTCTGATTAGCTAGGTGCAGACCTGATAGGAAGGGGGTCCAATGCAGAGAGCAAGCTCTATGTACCAGCTGCTTACTGACTAGTACTGATTCCATTGCTGTGAAGACTGTGTTTGTACATCTTCCCATGCTTCTGTAGCCTGTAAGTGCTATGGCAGGAGGAATGTAAAATAGGTAATGCCATATTTTCTTCATTTTACTCTTTTCTGATAGAGTTTTGATTTTGCATGGATGTTGGAATTTAATATTTTAGTGCTGCTAAAATATAATTTAAGTAGTAATTTTTTCTAGGGGCTACGGAATAATAAAATATCTGTGTTTATAAACAAAATATAAAAGTGAATACTTGCAGGTGCTAAATTTCATAGTGTCTTCAGTCTTCAATGAGTCACTCTTAATGCTAGGTGCAAAGCAATACTGAAGTATGGATTTCAATTCACTTATCTGGAGGTTGGTTTTGTTTTTGTTTTCTTTGCACTGGTATAGAGCGAAGACAGTCCTAGTCCCAAACGACAACGCCTTTCCCATTCTGTCTTCGACTACACCACAGCATCACCAGCCCCATCACCACCAATGCGACCATGGGAGATGACATCAAATAGGCAGCCTCCTTTGGCTCGACCCAACCAACACCACTTCTCAGGGGAACGATGCAACACACCTGCACGAAACAGGAGGAGGTAAGCAAGTTGTGTAGCTTGGGACACAAGTTCTTATTCTTTTTGATTTTAGCTCAAGGAAGGTGTATTTTGGGTAGCACTGACTAGATTATGCATGGTAAACTTGTTAACATTTCTTTTGAGCTGTAAGATAATGCAGTTGTGACTAAAAGGCTACTGGGAGTATTTCAGGCTTGTGCATCATCTTGTAATTTATGTGACAAGTCAGCTTGAGGAAAAGCGTGTTCCAAACATGTTTTATTATGAACTTAATTCTCTATTACTTTGCACTGAGGTAAAAAGCATGTAGAAAAGTGCAAGGAAAAATCTTTCTCATCAGGGTACTTTTAAAGGTGTTAAGAATTACTCACGTAATACCTTCATTTTCATTACAGTCACAATTTTTTTTGTACTTAAAACCAATCAGAATAACTATGAGAGACAGGAACTGGGGAGATGAGAAAGTTGGCATAGTATCAAATGTTTGCTGAGGTAGGTGATTCACATGTAGTAGTAATTAGATTTTAATGTTAGTTTTAGCTTGTGGCTAAACTCAAAGCAGAGATTGTGGAATAAGTTCCAGTGGTCATGGAAGAGAGAAATTGGAACTGGGGCCTGGATGGATGATAGTCTAGGAAAACATGAACTCACAGATTTTTATTGCTATTCTAGTTAAACAAATTATCCAAAACATAAGCTTTCATTGCCTCACATTCTGCCTTGATAATACTGAGTCATCTTATGCAAGTTAAAATACGCAGTCTCTGCTTCTAAGAAATGTTTTAGCTTGGTTTGAACTAAAAAAAAAAAGTGTCTGAGTGTCTGTCCTTTTTCATTAATAAGAAATTTAGGCTTAAGATCTATTTAGCTAGTTTTCTTCAGATTCCACAAATCAAATTTGTCAACAATGATCAGCCAGTAGTTTTGAAACAAGAGAGCTTAGAGCATGTTAGTTTTGTATCTTTGCTTCAACTTCATGAATTTGAAAGCCTTCAGTCAGTGGCATGTAAAATATGCAGCTCTCATTGCAGCTTATTGCTCTTAGGAAAGAGGTTAAGTAGTGAACTTAAAAAGGGTGTTGTGAAGACAGATCAGACCTTTCATATAGTTTGGTACAAGAATGCTCTGTTAGGAGCATTTGGCTGGCAAAATTATCTTGACCTGAAATATTTCGAACTGAGATGCCTAGATTGTGTGCATTCAGTCATTTTTGTTTGGTGTCCAGTCAGCTTACGTAAATTTCTTTGCAGTGTTCATTAACATCTGCAGAGTTCTAACTATCTGGCTAGCTATCTAGCTAAATGCTGGACAGCAGAATTTATACAGTTTGGATATACTGTGGGATGGAGGATAAGAATGGAAATGTGTAAGGGCTGCATGTGCATGGGACAAGTGTCTTGCCCTTCAGATGCCGTCAAGTGCTAATGAAGTAGTAGCCTGTGCCTTTTTGCAAGTAAGCCACTTGCAAAGAGGGAGACACCTCATTGCAAAGCCATCTGCAGTCTGACAGGAACTGTTAGGATGGCTGCAGCTTTATGAACACAAACATTACTCTTTCTGGAGACAGGTTGCTTGCTGGCTAATAACACAAGTTTTTGCTCTCATCAGAGACACCTGAATGTGTCAGTACTTTGTTTCCCTGCACTTGAGTCAAGGCATTTTTTAGCTTGGGTGCAGTGTTGCATTTGAGCTAGCTCCTTGTCAGTTCCACAACAGCATTGCACCTAGTTTCTTCTAGAACCAGGATTTTTAGGGAGAACAATACATACATGTTTCTTGTTTTGCAGGAGTCTTTCTGAGTCTTAAGAGTGCTCTGGAGTCTTACCAGAACTAATAGCCATTCTCATAGATCAAAAGCTTGAGTCCTTAATATCATTGTGAGTGCACTTGCTGTTAATGCTTTAGGTGAGGTTATGCCTATGCTTTTGAAGCAATTTTTTTGTTTTCCCTGCTTTGTTTTCACTTCTCATTGCAGAATGGTTTCAGAGTTCATCAGGTTTTCAGGTTAAATTAAGATGAAAGGTGAGCTCCAGCTGAAAATGGTCATTGAGCTCAAGGAAACAGGCTAGGGCAAGTGCAGGCAAAACCTTTGAAGTGTGTGTAGTGTGGACATCACTGCCCTAGTATCATCAGCGTTAACTCCATCATCCTACCAATGGACTCCTTTTGGTGAGGACAGTCTGTCTTGGGTATTTTTATTACCTGGTTTGTTTGTTGTTTTTTTTTTCATTACCCGCCTTATTATTTTGACCTTTCCTCTTGGTATCACTGATTTTGTACTGTGCCTAACACAAGAGCGCCTCAGTTTGTTGTAGTTTTTTATTCTGATTTGTTGTAAGCAAACAAGTACTGCATTAATAAATACAGCCTTCTGGTGTGAATTTGCAGAAAGATTATTTTTGTCTAGATACTTATGTATAGTACAGATAAATTATGAATGTAAAAACATAATGCATGCCTGTGTGAAACAGAGAAGGCCATTCCAATTTATCAGTCATTGTGAAATGGGGGGTCTGTACCATTGCTGTGCCTTACCTTTCATCTGTGCTTCCTTTCCTCCTTGTCTTGAATGTAATTCTGAACTAAAGGGATTCAAGAATGTCTTACTGCAAAGAAATCACCCTTGTTAGAAATACTAAGATCTGCACATACTAACTCTGCAGTTATGGATACCTTTTGATGGCTGTTCTTACCTGAGGGTAGGAATTCCTGCAATTTTTTCACCATTTTCATCCTGTCTCTTTGTTGTAACCAGGCATTTACCATATTTATACTGTGCATGTAGCAACAGAGGATTTTTTTGTGGCTGTTTTTAAAGACTTCAAGCACAAGTTCATTACTAAAGTTTAATAATAGTTTATGATTGTCTTGACAATTATTCTGAAGTAATTTCCAATAATTCAGAAGCTAATAAAGCTATGTATCCAGATGTTCTGAATTTTGCTGACTGAAAAGATAGTATGTTTATAATTCTGCACAGAAAAAAATCCAGCTTTGCTTTTTTTGCAGAGAATGATACTTTTTCATTAATTTTAAAAGACACTCCAGAAGTTTTCCTAGCCTTTATTGCTTTTTCATAATTCTGGGTTCATGGAAAAGTGAAACCAGGCCTTTTAACCAAGCCAGAGGCAAGACTAGTTTTATGAGAATTACCTTGTCTAAGAAGCCACCTTGTCTAAGTGCTGGTAGCAGTTAAGAGAATTCCTGTTCTTCTGAAGCACTGGTGCTGTCTGTTGTAACTTTCCTCTATTTTTGGAGCTTTTCCAAAGAAAAATCCTCACACAGGTATTTTTATGTTAAAATATTCAGACCTTTTCTGTTTCATAGCAGAAAATAGCAAATTTAAAACAACTGAGTACTCCAAACAGTAAAACATCTTCTGCGTTACTGGTTCTATGATTAGAAATTATATATGCCAATTTTACCTAACAAGAATGTAGCAGTTGTATCATATTATTATTAATAATGTTAATAATACAGAATGCAGCAAGAACTTCAGGAAAGAAAACTGGATATAAAATACATTAGTAAAAACAGAACTAAAATTTAGGTTCTCAGTGGTTAGAAGAAAACACAGCTTGTATGTTCTACAATGGTAGTTTATAAAAATGAAGGTAGCTATGCATATTTACATTCTTTTGGGTTTTTCTTTGCCTGGCCTTATGCCTTCAGTCTGACCTGTTGAGAATTACCAGTTGTTACAGTTCTAAGAGAGGCAATAGTGTCAAAAATATCCCTGAGGTAGGGTAGAAAAATAGTGGCTTGAGACATTGTATCATATGCTCACGGTTGCATCTGTGTAGCTGGTGATGTGGTCTCACTTTACCTGAGTATGTCTTTTTCGTGCAGCACAAAAGTTGGACTCAGCCTGAGAAGCATCTGGGATTTGCCAACAAGGTTGCAGCTTTATATGATTTTGATTTGGTAATAGCAGAAGTTCTGTTCCATGCAGTTGGAGACTACGTGTTCTAGTAATGATCACAGATTCTTGTTGTCGCTTCTCTGCAGTTTAGGTCCTTTAGCCTGTTTCATAAATAGGAAACCATTTCACCCCATGTAGCTTTAATATGTTATTGCTTCTGGAACCTGTAACTTGTGTGTGTTGTGGAGATTGGAAGGAATGTGCCAAAAGTACTGCAAGATCATTTTGTGCTTCAGTGCTTTCCCCTTCCAAATAAATGAGAAGTGACTTGTTCAAAACTTCTCATAGTGAGTTTATCACATCTGTGTGCATCATTTTCTGAGTGCTGAACCTGAGCCAGTGGTCTCTGATTTCTAGAAGTTTTGTCTCAAAGTAATTGCAGCTCTACTCAGAACTTGCACACAATTATATAGGAATGCATAATCAAATCCTACACCTGTAGATCAGTTGCTCAAGCAAGTGAGCAGTGATCTAAGTCTGTCTACAGAAGTTCTCCACTCTGGAAAAGAGACAATACCACAATCATAATTTCCTGGGACCTCCTGGAGAGAATTTTAGAATGCACTCAGTTACGTAGTGAACACGTGAGAGCTGAAAAATCAATTTGTTTCAGAGAAGTCTACTGTTTTGTCTGCTGTCACTAAGCAAGCAATCATTCTGTGTGTGGTTGAAACAAAGACCCTCGGGAAATCTTGATCATTTAATGAAGGATTTTTACCTAGATAGAATAAAGGCATTGGGATATTGTGAAGATTTCGGTTTTGACTTTTGAGCATTACTGTGGCAATCCAAGTGTCATTTTTTTAACAAGGTAATATTTACATAGGAGTTCTCCGCTTGGTTTCCCTAACACTATTAAGTTATGCTCTGTTAAGCATTTCCTTACTGAAAAAAGTATAATTTACAAAGATTCTTGCAGTTCTGTCAGTAAAAACTTTAACTTGTTCCAGTAAAATTTTCCAGTTAAAAAAAATCCTTGATATTTGATTCTCTTGAGGTTTTAGTTATTAAGAAGGATTTATGTCATTTATATAACTTCTGATTTTTTAAATGCATTTTCAGTCCTCCTGTTCGACGTCAGAGAACAAGGAGAGATCGTTTGTCTAGACATAATTCCATTAGCCAGGATGAAAACTATCACCATCTCTCCTATGGACAGCAGCAAGCAATAGAAGAGCCTCGAGCCTTTCGCCCACCGAATGTATCTCCTCGTATGTTGCACCCAGCTGCTCACCCACCACAGCAGAATGCAGTGATGGTTGACATTCATGATCAGGTAAAATTTTTAGAGCACAATCAGAAGTCTGTTCAAGAGGTGCTGTTTAGTTTTGGGGGTTTTTCCCACCATCTTCAAGATCCCTCTCCTCACCAAATAATCTCATCTCATGGTTGACAGTGAAAGTCACAAAGCACTAATTTCTATTTGACTTCTTACAGAGTGATGGTTTTTATTGAATATTATGCGTATGAAGCATTGTAGTAGGCAGTGAAAAAAAAACATAAAAAGTTCACACTTTTAATAAAGAAGATTGATACTTAACAATTCACCCTTAAAAATTTGTCAGTACATGAATTGGCATATTTCTCTATGTCTGTCTTGAACCTTTTATTTTGCTTTTGTAATTAGTTTCTTGCAAGAAAGATGTGCTATGACACTTACTAATTATGTATTCTATTTCACATTAAATGCTTCACCTTAGCTTAGGAGTCATTAAATAGTTAAAATGTATTATTTAGACGTAGAATTCACAATGCCTATAGTTGGTTGTCTACATAGCAGCAGAACTCAAAATAGTTTTGTTGTATAACTAAATGAACCCTCCAAGCCTAATCAACTCCTCCTTAAATTATATGAAAAAATTATATTTCAGTTGGTCCAGAAAATAAATAATTCCTCTCTGTGACAGCACTATGTATAGAATTCTCTAACTGAGGACCTGTAAAAGAAGATCCAATTATACTCTTGCTTTATGTTGTAAGCTCATGACAAGTCTGGCTGAACAGTTTTCCATTCCACTGCCAAACACCATCTGTGATCAGATGTATTTCCAGATTGACTGAGGTCTTCATGGTGCTGCTTTCCAATTCAGGGGCATGAACATTTTGAGAAGTCTTTTTTTTATTATTATTATTATGAGGAACAAACATTCCAGGATCACATATAGCATTGCACTTACGCCCAGCTTTTTGTGGCAGAGCCAGAACTGGTTCAAGTTCAGTGTCTTTCCTGAGCCTGGTTTCTGTCATTATTGATGTTTGAGATTTAACCTGTGTTCAGCAATCTGTGTTCTATTTTGATTTCTTTGTCTGGCTGTACATTACCAGTTTGGTAGTTTAGCTCTTTTTGCTCAATCTCACCTTTGTGAAGAGCTGTTCTTGTTCTGTTTTAAATAAGAAGGTTCTGTTTTGGCTGATCATGAAGGAGGAGAGAGCTTTGAAATAATTACTGTCAATTAATCTGTGCTGCCTGACTCTTAAGCCTTTTCAGTTTTATTAGAGCATGAAAATAGATTGTTCAGTTAAAAGATCGTTCAGTGGTAAAAAAATCCAACAAAACCAACAACAAAATTTCAAGCAAACAAATATCCAATGTGGTTTCTAGATGCAGAATACGTTTGGATGTTGGTTTGATGATTAAATTTTACAGATTGCCACTAGTTAGAAAATTGAGTTACGTGGTTTCTTAATATGAATCTGGACAGTTAGGGTCTGCTGCCTCTTAGTCATGTTAACTTTCCCTTTTCAGCTTTCTAGTTAGCTGTTCTGTTACTTAAGTTAGGAGTTTAGCTTAAATGCTGGCCTGAAAGTTAATCAAGAGAGTGGTCTCTTAGGAAGAAAGAAAATCTGGAAAACTGTTTTGTTGTTTAAAGATACAAGTCTCTTGAATTAATACTGACTCAGTCCCTTCAGAACTGAAAAAATTATTGAGCTGCTTGTAGATTAGCTTTTTATGTGGGAGCTACCACCTTCTTATTTCATAAGTTTAATTTCATAATTAACCTGGGGAGAGAAGGAAGAGTAGGCAGACTTAATAGTCTGACGTTCTTCTGGGTGTCTATGGTACCACTGAACTTTTAACATGTTAAGCTGAGAGATCCTTCTTGCCCAGAAATTCTGATCAATAAATAGCATTCCATTGATTAAAACATTTCAATGAACAGAAATTACAACCATACACCTCCTGTTACACTTCCTTTTTGAATGTATTCTGATCTGTAAATAAAAGCTTGTTATCTTACTGTGCTGTGTAAGAGTGTTAAGACTTTACTGTAAGTTATTAAATACATTTTCTTTTCCTTTTGCTGCAGATTCATCAGGGCACAGTTCCTGTTTCATACACAGTGACAACTGTGGCTCCACATGGGATACCACTTTGCACAGGCCAGCACATTCCAGCCTGCAGCACTCAGCAGGTCCCAGGGTGCTCAGTGGTTTTCAGTGGCCAGCACCTTCCAGTTTGCAGTGTGCCTCCCCCAGTAAGTAGGTCTCTCTAACAACACCAGCTTCAATCTGTTTTTCTAGTACAAGTCTAAAAGGTCTTACACAGTACTATATACAGCATCTAGTGAACACTTCTGATGTTGGTATAATGTTGGTCTCTGCCAGCAGTATGTAACTTTGCTTTTCCTGTGGTGCTTTCTGTGACATGAATAAGCCTGTGTGGTACTGAAACAAAATCCTTGATATGACCCATCTATTTTTTTAGGCTGCCCATTGAAGAGTAAGGGTAATTTGCATTTATCATGCCCAGGTATCATTTATCCCCATGAGAGGCAACAAGGTCTGCAGCATGATGCTGGCAAGTCTGGAGTATTTGTGAGAATCAATTCCTTATCTGTCAAATTGATAAAAATCTGTTATCTAATCTGGTGTGTATCCCTGAGGCAGCATGAGAGACCGGCTTTTTCTTCTGTTTAGTGCTGGTAATAGTGGAACAAGGCAATCTCAGAATACTACTCAGAGACTGGAACAATACTTACATAGTAATTCAGAAAGGAAAAAAGCAACATGTCCTAAGAAACAACATGTCCTGAGAAACATCTGAAACTGTACTGGGGCTTAGGTAAATCCATCCAATGCATACTAGTAATTTTACCCTATGCTTTGAATAGGTATATTATCTTTGCAATTCATAAAAGGTTTTGTAATTCAGCAATGCAGTTGTCCTTTTAATACATATAGGAGTAAAGTTCTGGTTTTTGTTTTGAATGTACAACAGTTAATCAAGTGTGTTGGGAGAATAGATCCAGTGCAAATGAATATAAACAGTTAGGTTTCTGTAGTATCAGCAGACAGACTTTATGCTTTCTTCTGTTAAAGCATAAAATTGAGGAATAGTTTTAAGTTAAGAGGGGACTCTGGAGGTTGTCTGGTGGTCACCTGATATAGTACCAACTTCCAAGTATGGAGATTTCATAATGCCTCTAAGTTTCTGCTTCAGCATTTGACTGTCCTTGTGATGAAGAATTCCCTCTGTATATCTGGTTGAGTTTTCATTGTTGCATCTTGGTCCCATTGGTCTTGGTGCTCTTTCACTTTGCTTCTTGAGGAGGTCTTGGATTCTTCCTGTCCACTCTCAGGAAGTAGTTAGACACAGGGGTAAGGTGTTTGCTTACTTTTCTCTTTTAAAAGAAGAACGAGTCTAGTTCTGCCACCTCTTTTATGGAGTTCTCTCCAAGTCACTGGTCATCGTGACTTTCATCAAGACCTGGTCATCATGTTGTCATTGTGTGTGTTTGGCACTGGCACACCCAAAACTGGGCCCAGGAATTGAGATAAATGTCACAGTTTCTGAATGGAGGAGCAGAATCACTTCACTAGTTTCACCAGTTGCTTTCTTAGCCATGCATGCCATAGGCCTTTTTCGCTGAGTACACTACGGGTATTCTGTTCGTGTCCACCACAACCTCCCTTTTTTCCCTGCAAATCTGACTGCAACCAATTAGTCATCTCAGAGAGTCCTGATCCATGGAGTTACTCTTTTCCAGTGCCAGACTTCACATTTGTCTTTGAACTTTAAATAGTTTTTGTTGGCCAATTTCTCCAGCCTATAAAAATATATCTCAAGGTAGCACGTGCCCTCCAGTGTGTCATCTTGCTCACCAGCTTCATCTATGAACTTCCCAGTTTCCTTTTGTTGTTTTCACAATACTTGTCTGTCTCACTGCATGCATAACTATGAAGTAAACAAATGCCATTTATTAGATACCTTCATCAATTTTAAAAGTTCTTCAAAGACCAAGATGGCATCCAGAGGGACATGGACAAGCTTGAGAAATTGGCCCATGTGAAATCTCATGAACTGTAGCAAGACCAAACACAAAGTGCTGCACTTGGGTTGTAACAGCACAGGCTGGGGATGAACAGATGGAAAACAGCCCTGTGAGAAGGACTTGGGATGCTGGTGGGTGAGAGGCTGGACATGACCCAGCCATGGGCACTCCCAGCCCAGAAAGCCAAACGTGTCCTGGGCTGCATCCAAAGCAGCATGGGCAGCAGGGGAGGGAGGGGATTCTGCCCCTCTGCTCTGCTCTGCTGAGAGCCCACCTGGAACCCTGCACCCACCTCTGGGTGTGTCCCAGCACAGGAAGGGCATGGACCTGTTGGAGTGAGTCCAGAGGAGGGGCATCAACATGATCAGAGAGATGAGGCACCTCTCCTGTGATGAAAGGCCAAGAGAGTTTGGATTGTTCAGCCTGGAAAAGAGAAGGCTTTGGGGTACCGTAATTCCAGTACTTGGAAGGGAGCCTACAAGAATGGCGGACTGAGGCTTTTTACAAGGGCATGTAGTGACAGAACAAGATGGGAAATGGCTTTAACTGAAAAAGGGTAGGTTTAAATTAGGTAATGGGAAAAAAATTCTTTACTGTGAGAATGGTGAGGCACTGGAACAGGTTGCCCAGAAAAGATATGGATGCCACTTCCATGAAAGTGTTCAAGGCCAGGTAGGATGAAGCTCTGAGCAACCTGGTCTAGTGAAAGGTGTCCCTCCCCATGGCAGGGGGTTTGGAACAAAATGATCTTTAAGGTGCCTTCCAATCCAGGTATGATATTTCTAAAGTGAAGAACTTTTTTTAAAGCTTGAATGAATAAACAGATAATTTTAATTTCTTTCTGCTTGTAAGTTAGTGGTGCATCATTTGCTCTAACTAAAAAGTGACATGGGCATAGCACAAATCAAACATTTCCAAACATATATAGGAGCTATGATAATCTTTACCACGTAAAATCCTATTTCAGTGTTTCAAAGAATCTCAAGCTTTGAAGAAGACTCTGCAAATTTGTCTTCAGCTATTTCAGAGTTTTCAATATAGTAAAATACAATAAAAATGTATTATAACCATGGAAACACTTGTTTATTATATTTGTTTTTTAGAAAAATGGTGTAGTAACTGAGGGAAAAGAACAGTCAGTCAATATGTAAATGCATGCTGAGTGACATTACTAATAAGAAAAAAGTGATCAAAAGTGGGTAATCTTTCTTTTCAATATTTGATAATGAATATCTTAATTAAATGTTCTTGTAATTGTTAAAAGTGTAAAAGAAATGCCTGACATTCTCAAAACAGATCAAAGCACAGCAAAAAAGAGATCGCAGTTTCCTTTGTCCTCCATATATAAAGATGGAAGTAAAACTCAGCAGTGCCAGAAAGTACATTTCTTTTCCCCTGCAGTGCTTTCATCATTTTATTGTTCAAACATTAATGCCCAAAGTTGCTTTTTTGTCAGGTATTTAAAGGAGGAGAGAAAAAGTGCTATTTCCTGTAGTATCTGTTACTAGGGAGCTGCTTTTGGAGCATAGGACTCACCCAAAAGTACAAAACAAATCAGACTGTATAAATTATTCATAGTACATGAGGTAACAGAGGTCTTTAGGCACAGTCTGACAGCTGAGTCCCTCACCTGCATCTAGAGCTTATAGTGCTTGCAAGATGATTGCTTTGGCATGTTGTTTTGATGATAATATGTGGGAAAAATAAAATTAACTAGAATAACTGTATCTGTTCATCACTTATGAGCCTGTCTAGTCCTGGAGTATTGAAAATCCAGTCTCCTGGTGACATCATGAGCCCCTAGGAGATGTCATGCTATGTTAATTCCTAGAGTGTGTTCTGTAGTAATCACTGTTCCTTGGATATTTGAATGAGTTATTTATGTGTATTTTGGGGGCTTTTTCAACAAGGCTAAAGAACTGTTCTGTTACAATTGTATCTCTCCATAATAAATACATAGAATATGGAACATTGTGTAGGGAATGTTTTTGCTACAAAAATGTATTGTTTTCATTTTATTTCAGATGCTTCAGGCGTGCTCAGTTCAGCATCTACCTGTACCATATGCAGCATTTCCACCCCTCATTTCTAGTGACCCATTTCTTTTGCATCCTCCTCATATCTCTACACACCACCCTCCTCACTTACCTCCTCCAGGACAATTTGTTCCTTTCCAAGCACAACAGTCACGGTCGGTAAGTAATGCTTCATCTCAGTAGAACTGGTGGGCTGGATGGGCACATAGTTCTGATACCTGGTTGAGGAAACGAGGATTTTCTTTCAAATTGTAACCGCTTAGAATGAAGATGAAAAAATACTTCTGAAGTTCAGTGTTTCACTGATTTCGTCATTGCCTGTGCTGTTTGTCCATATGCTTTTACTTCTCTCAGAAAGATGGGTATTTCCTTCACCATCAGGTATTTCTTTCCCAGGAAGCAGAATGGAATCCAGAGGAGTTTGTGTAAGCATAGTAGGTATCACAGAGAAAAAAGCACATGAGTGTTGCTTTTATTACATATTTCTTCTGTACCACTTCTTGATTAATTTTTAAATAACCAGTCCTTTTCCTAGGACACTTTCTTTACAGTTATGAAAGTTACTGATATTGCTTAAGCAGATTTGGCTTAGTGAAACGGACTATGCAAACATGGGAAAATGTGACCCTGTTTTCGATTTAGGGGGAAATCAGGTTTACAGTTCTGGCCCACCATTCTTTCTGTGTGGTTATCTGAGTACTTATCCATTTGTTTGTCCTGGTGAGTAGAAGATGCAGATATTTCAGTAACATAGAAATAGGATATAGCTTTATTACTGCAAACACTGCTGAAACTCCTTCATGCCATGTCTCTGGTGTGGATAGGATTGTAATCACTTCATTACAGTGATGGGAGAACAGTTTCCATCATCCTGACAAAGTGTTTCTTTGTGATAGAAATCTTTGCGAGACTTAGCTTTAAAAAATTTATGGACTCAGGTTTTACCTTGAGTTGCTTACATAGTTTTTTAACTAGGCTGGCATGTCTGCTTTCAGCTCTGCCAAAAAGCTTGCATCACAGTGGTGTGAAAATGTCTTGTTATATAGAACAGGAAAGTAGTATATTCCTTTGATTCTACAAGGTGGCTTTCTTAGCTGAATCTTGAAATTGTGGAATTCACTGTCAATAACAGAATGGTGTATTTGTGAAACAGTGAGAATTCCTGCTTGTTTCTTGGGCACTTTTGAACCTAACTAATGTAATAGATTTGACTAGCAACAAAACCAACCTGAAATCCCATGCTTCTGAAACCCCAGAACTGCTTGTTAGGACTGCTTGCATGACCCTTCTGGGAAAGCATCTGCTTGCTTTCTGGATATCATTATCAGTTTCATCTACTGGAACCACCATGATTCCCCTCCACTTTTCAATTTTTGTGGCACAATTTCAGTTCTTGTCTATGGTTATTTATTTTTTTCTCTCGCATAGTTATACAGTGAGAGCAGCCTGGCAAGAAGGAGAACAAATATATGTCCTGAAAAATGCAAGATACAGGAAATTACAGCCACTCCTATATTTGCTAGATCGCATAAATTCCTGGTCTATAAGCATGGCTAGCTGGAAAAGGTGAATTTATATCAAATGTGTAGTGTTGTCTTTGCTTTCTTGGGTAGTGTTAATGACCTAGGAATTGCTCACCGAGTTACTATAAGTTGATCACAGCAGCAGAGAATATACAGCTGGGACTGCAGCGCTTTATTGGGGAAAAACTGTCATCTCTTATTGCAACAAATACTATATCTGTTTTTTTTGTAGCCACTTCAAAGGATAGAAAATGATGTAGAATTGCTTGGAGAACATCTTCCTGTAGGAGGTTTTACATACCCTCCCTCAGCCCATCCACCAACGTTGCCTCCCTCAGCTCCTCTTCAATTCCTAGCCCATGATCCATTACACCAGGAGGTGCCATTTGGGGTAGTAAGTATTGTTTTTTGTGCTTAGAAGTGCTGTTTTCTGTTGCTTTCTATGCATTCTCTTTCACACTGCATTGACATTCTTGATCTTTATTCTGTAGTACATTTTGTTGAAAAGTCGCACTTTAGCAATCATATTCCATTATTGGAATAGCGGCATATTGTGGTATTTTCTTTAAGCCTAAGTTAATCAAGTTAAGGGTAATTTAATGACACCAGCAAATTATTTCCAGTAACATTATCTGCAGAGTGCATCAGCATTTACTTAGAAAACTTTCCATGTTGTCACATAGTCCAGGACTTCTATTGCTGGTATCACTTAGTGCAGTTCAGAAAACCTGTTGTCACTTTTAGTTAATTCTTCATCATATGTTGAGTTTCCACAGCTCAGGAAAGCCAGAATGCTTTGAAAACAGTTCTCTTTAAGCAGTTGTAGAGTGCTTCCATAATTTAGACTACACCATATATTATAAAGATAGCCATGTTACAAAGCTTGATTTAACTCAGCTTTTGGGGGATCAGTAGGCAGTTCAACTACACCAGCACAAAATAAAATTTAAAGTGGTGCAGGATAAAGTCTGTGTTGAATTTTGTTGAATCATGTGCTTCTGTGGTGTGTCCAGTGGTGCTGCTTCTGGGATCTTTGTCTTGTACTTCAGTCTGCAATTATACTAATCCTGAGATGTGTCAAGGTTTTGTTGTTGTTTGTTGTGGTTGTTTTGTGCTGGTCACTTTAAAAAAAAAACAAAACAGAATACCCCCTCTCCTGCCTGTGTGCCTGGAAGAAATAGCTAGATCCCAAGTTTAGGTGCTGAAATTTTTTTATTGTTTGACATGTACATCAAGTTGTCAGTGGTTTTAGGGGAATATTGTTATTTAAATTTTAAATAATAACTAAATTTTAGGCCCTGCACTGCAGAATATAGAGATACCCTGTCTTCAGTTGTTCTTCATGAAATCACAGAGCCTAGTCAAATGGTTGCTTGCAGTTTTCATAAAGGTTCAAGTAGTGTCCACCATTTCAAAAAGTGATCAACTTACTCCTAATCTGAAAGTGTACTTCCAATGAAGTTTTCAGGCACTATGAGACACTCTGGAGTCCAGGACACTTGAAAGCTTCCATAAACTGCTTCTATTTTATTCAGTATGCTTGTTAAATGAAGTAGTCTAATGATACATGTTTTGCTCGGAGTCAGACTTCTTCATTTTTAAGTTTGGTTGTTAAAGTAGATAGGAAACATAATAACTATTTTCTGCAGATCGTAGCATTTGTCCTTTCTGATGCTTCGGTTCTGTGTTGTTTATTGCTAAGGAGTAGAATAGAGACATATTACAAGTAACCATGTGCCCTTTTATAAACTAATACTAAATCTTTATAAAGCTTTATTTGCATTAACATTGGAATGGAATAGATGCATTTCTGATTCTTTTTTTCATTCAGTAGACACAACACTTTCTAATAATGTTTTTTGATTGTAGAATTCACAAAGCAGTAAAATTAGTATTTCATATGTCTAGTTTGAGACTTCAACCAAAAGGAACCTGGCTCTTTTGTGTTGTTCTTATGTTAATATATTTATATGAATATGAACATTAATTAATTTCATGTATGACCGTGGCTACCAAATTATAATGTTTCTATTGTAAAATTAGGGGATTTTAGGTTAGTCATTGAGAGTGTTGGGCTCTTGTGCTTTCAAATTTCAAACATAAAAATAAAAACGTGTTAGTGAAGGCTTAGAGTGTTCTTTGTTTCAAAAAAATAGGTCTTAAGGCCCTCAAATATGAATTTATTAGGGATACGTGAATTTTGTAGAAAATTCAAAAACATTAGTTGTAGAAAATGCAAAAACATTTCAGTAAAAGATGACAAAAAGTTCCCTGATTTATCCATGGAATTAATGCATTGAAACTTGGGCTTGAGTGTCTCTCTATGTGTGGTCCAGCTGCAGAAATTGTACTAATTAAACCTTCTACATACACCTGAAAGGCTTCAAGCCTTTAAGCCTGAATATAAGTATATATCACTGCTTAAAAGTTAGAGGTTTTTTTAAAGAGATTTTTTTTTTTTAATTCTCATTTTTAAAGAGTTTTTTAAGGCCTTCTTTACTCTAAACTGCTTATGCACAGGCCTGCATAATAGTGCCTGAGCCTTTTATATTTAGAAGAGGTTCAGCAATTCATGTTCTGTTTCCCAAACTAGACTCACTGTAGACTAAACACACAGGAACTTGTAGGGATTTCTGTTGTATATTACCTCTTTTTCACATGAATTGGTATGATTGTATATTATAGATGGGAATAGTAATTTCCAATTGAGGCTGAGGTTCTGTTGGATTTTAGCAGAGGCTGAAATTTTTAAACAATGCTTTATTGAAAGTGGATTTCAATATTGATTAAGAATAGAAAATGTCAAATCATGGGCTCACAGACTGGATAAGGTTGGAAGGGAGGTCATCTGGTCAAGCAGGGCCCCCTGAAACCCAAAACACCACTCAAGAAAACTGCAGACCAGTTTCACAAGCCAAAGTCACGTTTCCAAAAAGGGAAAACAAACAAAGCCTGGGTGTTGAGGACTATGTCCAACCAGCTTTTGAGTATCTCCAGGAAGGCAGACTCTACCATCTCCCTAGGCAACCTGTGCCAGTGCTCAGTCACCCTCAGAGTAAAGAAGTATTTCCTGATGTTCAGACAGAGCCTTCTGTGTTTCAGTCTGTGCCCAGTGTCTCTGGTCCTGCCACTGGGCACCACTGAAAAGAGCCTGGCTCCGTCTTCTAGGCACCCTCCTTTCAGGTATTTAGCCCTCTCTTCTCCAGGCTGAACAGACTCAGCTGTTTCAGCCCTTTTGCACACGTGAGATGCTCCAGTCCCGTCTTAGTGACCCTTTGTTGGACTCTCTCCAGTATGTCCCTGTCTGTCTTGTGCTGGGGAGCCCAGAACTGGACACAAGTTCCAGTTCTGCAAGTTTCAGTTGAAGCTTATTCTCTTCTTTCTTGCAGCCGTACCCACCTTTTATGCCTCGAAGACTCACAGGGCGCAGCAGATACCGATCACAGCAGCCAATACCACCACACCCTTACCATCCCAGCCTATTACCTTATGTGCTGTAAGTGAAAAGTACATTTGCTTCCATGTAGGCTATTAAGAAGTCAGAAAGCATCATGGCACTTTTTATGATTGGACTCTACCAGAGACCAGGCGTATTTCACCTGTCTCAGAGGAAAACTTCCATTTCTGTGTAAACTTCTCAGCCTACTTTTAATAACCAACACCACTGAGCAAGGAAAAATATAAGTGAACAGTTTTTGTCCAGTGTAGTTTTGTAGGTATTTTGAGGCACAGTAACCTCTTGTTTCTGAACTCTTGGTAAAATCTTCAGCAGATTTTAAATGATAGTTCTATGATACTCTTACAGAGGCATAGTTACACTGTTCAAGTTGTAGCAGTCTTCACTTATGGAATAAATTAATTTGGTTTATTCTTAATTTTAAAACACAAGAGGGGGGGACTTCTGTGATGTGTTACTCTTTATTGGCTGAAGTGCTACTCTGTCACAGCTGTCTGTTCTGCCTCTGATTAGCTGTTTCTGGAAAAAATGTGGAACAATTATCATTTAGGAATTATCTGTAGTGGGTTATGGTAGACTCCGGAAGAGAGTTTGGGTCTATGACATAAAATGTATTAGTCTTCTGTGTTCTGTATTAGAAGAAGTAAATGTTTGGAAAACAGAAATTAAATTTTTGCTCGCAAAGGTGACATGACAAAGAAATAATCAAGCACTGACACCAGATCTGTAGATTCTCTCTGTGCAATGTCAGACGTGGCATGAAAATGGCACCAGAAATCTGATTTCAGCAAAGTTGTTCAACTTCTCATCTTGCAGTCTGAGTGTAGTGTCATAGCTTCTTGGCTATTCATTGAGGACATGATGTGGCACAGTAATTCCTGATTCTACTATATTAGTGCTTTGAATTTGTGATTTCCATGTCTGTGGATGAAGTTTTGACCCACTGTACTATCTTGGGGGAGTAAAAAGATTTACTGAATATACAACTAGAAAAACATCTCTCTGATCTCTCAGTCTGAAGCGATTCTGCTTTTACCAACATCACAGTACACGAGAAAGTGAATTTGTGCTTGCCTTCAGGATAGGTTTGTCCAGTAGCAAATCCTATTTATCTTCACTGTGTGTTTTAGGCTTGCAGAAGTTGCAAGGCTTTTATGTTGGAGATCTAAATGGACTTAGTGTTCCTCTTTGGTCTTTTATCCACTTAAGGAAATAAAACATTTGTAAAACCAGAATGTCAAATTTTTGTTAGTTTTAGGCCTCCATAGTCTGTGATAATTAAGAGGTTAGTTTTTGAACTAAAGCTGAGCTTGATTAAAAGTATCAAGTGAAACGTGCATACAGTTAAAAAGTCAGGATTCCCAATATCAGAAAGTTAGCAGAAAAAGCATTTTCCTGTGACTCTTCCACTTCAAATGTCTGTTCGTGACTTCAAACATAATATTTTTGCCAGTTTTGAAAACATGTTGATTTGAGAGGCATCAGAAAGGTTACTTTACTGATGCCAGATGTTTCTGTGTTTTTCTTCAGCAAGATGCTGAACCTTATCCTGTTTGCTTTTGTGGTAGATCAATGCTCCCAGTGCCACCGGCAGTTGGACCAGCTTTCAGCTTTGAGTTGGATGTGGAAGATGGAGAGGTAGAAAACTATGAGGTTGGTGTGTGAACTACAACTACCTATAAAGAACAGATGTTAGCTCAAGCAATAGATAAAATTGTATTTTATTTTACTTTGAATCTTGGTTTTGCTTTTCAGATAAATGTAGTGACTGGGAAGACAGAATCCAAAATTAGTCCTTTCAGATTTTTTTTGTAATACTGAATATTAGAAGTGTTTAGTTTTCTTTCTTGTCTATTGCTCTTTCCCAGAATTCACCTTTCCAGGCTAGTAATCATTAAATTGTTCAACTTATATGTTCACCATGCTACTCTTCTCCTTTCAAAATTTAATTGATTTTAAATACAAACAGAAATTAAGCACTTTCAGAAGAAAAGGGTAAGTTACTAGTTTTATGAGTGTAACTTTCAGAATAGTTTTAATATCATAGGATTAATTTAAATATAATGTTTATAAAATTACCTTACTGCCTTTTCTTCTTTTCCTCTGGAGGGGATGGTAATTCACATCTAGAGATGCAGAACCCTCTTAAATGTCCTAGATAATTATGGGGCTGTTCCAACTGTTGTTTCTTTGCTGGTTCTGAAGCTAATGGATTCCATTTGATTTCTCTTGAGCTAGTCATCATTAACCCTGACTTTTGCATCTCTTTGCCTGTGCTCTCGTTAAGATATCTTTGTAGTTGCACATCTTCAGTTTAACAATGAATGCTTCTGTAATAGTTTCTGTGGTGGCTCAGAAGCAGCATTGTCATCTGAGAACTTGGGCCCTAGGTTCAATAGTGTAAGAAATCAATACCAGTTGCAGCTTTCATAGTATCTTTTCTCTGCACTGATTGTCTGTCACACTGATGTTGTTTCCTAGGCCCCTCATGAAGGAGTGTGAGTTGAATACATGACAGATTGCAAATTATATACATGACAGCATTTTAGTTGCAATTGTTGGCTTACAGAAAATGAACATAAAAATTAGAAGCCAAAAAGCGCCTAAAGTTTGATGATATGTGTTTGTTTTCCAGGTTGAGGCTAAAATCTCCATGTTTTAATTCAACTAGCCCAAGACATGGAACGGGAATCATAAACTGTCCCATTAAACTTACGATTTCTCTCACAAGATCAAATTCTTACAAAGAATATTCTCACATATTCTTACAAAGGAAATTAGTTGACAGTTTCTTTCTGGTTACCAGCACTGTTAATTTCATAGCAGGGTGAGGCGATCCCTCAGAAGCGAATTATTTTTTGAGCTGTGTGGGCAGTCACAGGACTAATTGGAAATTGGGTCCTTGGGAAGTGGGTTTTGAAATCCCAGAGAAAATATCTTGTATAATTACAAAGATGGTTAAGCTCTGAAAGACTTTCTAAGGAGCTTGTATTGTGTGGGAGAACTAAGGTTCTAAACATTTCTTGATAGAAGGGTGTTTTGTGCTAGCAGCTGGTGAAGTGAGATGTGATGGTAGTGCCCAACACTAATGGAACCAGAGCCTGTTTGATCAGTGAATTTTTATATGTCTGGTTTCCATGTTTTGCAGGCACTGCTGAATTTGGCAGAACGTCTGGGAGAAGCCAAACCACGGGGATTAACAAAAGCAGATATTGAGCAGCTTCCATCCTACAGGTTCAATCCAAACAATCACCAGTCAGAGCAGACATTGTAAGTATATTGGTCTCTTTCAAGGATCCATAATTAAGGTGGCTTGATTTTCATTTCTTTAACTTGCAGTCACAGCTATGTCAGAAGAGCAAGAATACTTGATATGTGAAAGCACAGTAAATAAAAAAACCAGCAAAACACCCATAGAACCCCACAGTCAATTCTCAGTTTCCATTGTAAGATGTAGATCACTGTAGCTACTGAAGGAGTAAAATACCTACTGTGTTGCAATCATACCTGTAAGGTTTTGTATGGAATTGCATATTTGTTGTTCTTACATAGCAGATACATTTGAACTTCATTGTCTTTTCTAGATGTGTGGTGTGCATGTGTGATTTTGAGTCAAGGCAGCTACTTAGAGTCTTACCCTGTAACCACGAGTTCCACGCCAAGTGTGTTGATAAATGGCTAAAGGTAAGAAAAAGTAATCCTATCTTAGATGAAATTGATTATGTAGTTTTGTAGGAGAGGGTGGGGATATTTGCTGTTACACTTCATTTCATCTTGTTTCGTGTTTCTGATACTTAAAAAGCCAGCAGAATGGAATCACTGCCTAGGTATTATATTATTCTAATAATTGATGAAGACTGTTTCTTCATAATATTTGGCACAGTGGAAAATGAATATGAATACAATTGTTTTCATTGACAGCTCTTACTGTGTTTTCCACTTGCTTAAAACAGTAACTGTGCATTTGAGTAATACACAACATTAAAGAAGACTTGAGAAAAAGCCAATAATATGGGAAGTATGATACAGAATTTGATAATGATGGTGGCTTCATCTGTTTTACACAGCTTGCCTAGCAAGAATGAGTACCAACCAATTTCCTTCCCCACTTTACTGTTAATGTTGGTTTCTGGGGCAAATAAAGTGGGTTACAAAGGTACGTTTATGTGTATGCATATACACAGAAATGTAATATATACAAATAGAAACTACAGTTTCACAAAATGATTTATCTATCCAAGAGAATTTGAGCAAAAATGAAAGGCTCAAGAGTCAGGACTGTCCAGTAATAGCACTGATTAAATAGCAGTTGTGCAGAAGGCGACAAGAACAAGAAATACAAGTAGATTATGGCAGACACTTCTACAGGCTTCATTAAGCCAGATCTACTGCCAGCAAGGTATTGACTCCCATCTTGCCTCAGTTTTTTGACTATTTTATTCTATTCAGCTTTAATCCATTTACTCTGTTGTGTGGAACATTAGAAACTGCAGTGATCCTATGCTGATATGGTCCCTAGAAAATTAGAGATGGTGTTTGTTGTTTTGGCAAAAGACATAAAACCTCCTTCCCTTTATGGCATCATAAATATGGCATCATATCTTAGCCAAGTGCTAAAATATGCAGTGCAGAGAATGAAAAAAGTCAATATTGGCAGTATTTTTTTTCCTAAGACAATAACAAGAATAATGAGAAGGATTTGAAAAAATGGAATGTCAAATTGCCCTTTGGCTACAGTACCGATAGTAGTCTAAGTCTAAAGCTCCTACAAAATCTAGGGCCATTGTGACTATTAGTAATGCTCATAATTTTTGGTAGAAATGGTCCAAAAGTATCTGAATTCACATACATGCTCAAGAATTAGCAAGAGTAATCTAAACACCTGGTTGTTTTATTTTATATTAAGAAGCCACGTGCACACCTACCACATAATATTATCAGTTTTTCTCTGCTAGACTTATGAAGTTTTGTTCACTTACTGCAAATTAAGAGTAGAGTCTGTATGTATCAAAGTGGTGTTCTTCAGAGTACCTCTTCTCCTCTCAAGCAGCATCCATACTACACATGTCAATCTTTCATTGCATGAAACTCTCTAAGTCAGTTGTGGTGTGGACAGTGAATGTCCAGGGATAGTACTCTCTCCACTTTATGGAAAGAAGGGGAAAAAAAAAAAAGAAAATGTCATTTGATATTCCTTGTGAGATAGTGGACGCTATAGATTTATTATGTGGATTTTTATAAAGACAATTCTTTCCAGGCTATTAATGCAAAAAAAAAATACCTCTGATTCATAGAACCCCTGATGTGTAGATTTCTAGAAGTTAGAGGATCATGTCGGGAAAGTATCATGCGTGTTTGTCTTTTTATTAATGCTCTTTTCTTACCTGACATCCCACTCAGGAGTCAGACGAGCATGTTGAGGTAATCTGTTCTGGACTCAGTGTAACACTTTAAAAGTTAAGAGTTAGTCCTTTCAATTGCTAACGAACTGGCAATAGAATTTGGAACTACGAAGTGAAAAAAACAGATTTAGTTTAGTCTGTTTTCATAAATGTAGTGTACTGTTCTGGTAGTGAAATAGTTTTGCTGATGTTCCCGTCCCATCTCAGAATCTGCATTTCCTAACAGATCTTCAGCTGTAGTATTTTGTAAAGGTTGTCTTTAGAATGAGGTGCAAGATCTGCAATCAAAATGTAGAGGGGTGCTGTTAAACTGAGTAGAACTTGAATTGACATTGTTATTCCAGAGCTGAGTGCAAAATAAGATAGACAACATTAAACCATCCTAGTGCAGGTTCACTAAGTATTTTACTTCTACACCATGTGGGCTCAGTTACAGTGGTATGAAGATGGTATATGCAAATAGAGACTAATTTGCTTTGCAAGCTGTAATAAATTACCTGCCTCTGTCTAAACTTGGTTACAGTTAAGAAGCTAACATCTGAAAGTGATGATAACTGGAAAATATTTTGTGCATTAGTTTTGCTTCTGTCCATTCATTTATGAATTTGAGAGCTTTTTTTTAATGTATCTTGATTGTATATTTATCTGCACATGTACCTAATGCGCATCATCCAGCCAACATCATTCACAAATTCTCCAAGGGAAAGTTAAAATTGTAGCTTTCACTACTTGTAATGTTATTCCCCTAAGTAGACAAAGAAAAAAATTATTGGTTAGTCACTATTTTTTACTGATTTAATCTCATTTCTTTGAAGAGTGTATTTGTTATCTAAGACTATTTCTATAACTATGGAGTCAAATTAATTTTTTTTAAGTTCCATCATATGTGACTTTAGTGAAAGATGTGAGTAAAAGGTTAGTGATTCAATCTGGGTACTTTAAAAATACTCTTCTTGGGTTGTCTGTTGGTGATGATGGCAAAGTAAAAAAACGATCTAAAAATGTTTTGTGGCTTGTGTGCATGGAATATGTGGCAGTACTCTCTTTTTAGGTGGTGAGCAAGTAAGAGGAAATGTTCTATAACAGTGCATTAAGTTGTCCACTTCAGCTAAAATACTTTCTTATTTAAGCAAACTTAAAGACTTAATGAGAGAAGATATAATACAGTGGAGGAAACAAAAGAATTTAAAAGAGAGGGATTATCCTTTCACTTTTTGTAGTATTCCCAGTTCCCATGTTTCACAGTATTTGGCTCCTTCTTACCCTGTATCCTCTAGTCAGGTATGAGTACATGAGAAATACTCTCTTCTATAAAATAAAAGTCATAATTCCAGAAAAGTACTTGACACCACCATGATCTGTCTTCACCTTGAGGGTTAGAACAATGCTAAAAGGAATACCTGCCTTTAACAAACTAGGAAATGCTGTATTATATATAAGAAAAGATAAACTGTAACTATACTTCAGCTTATTTCTGATAGACTAACACCAAAGTAGTGCAATGGTTTTTAGAGTATTCTAGTGGCCCTATAGTTTCATTATTCTAAATGCAGTTCACTTTAACTATAAATTTCTATAAAATATTTAAAAAATCAGTTCATTGTGCAGCACTCTATAGTTACAGCACAAAATTAAGTCTGCCTGGAAGAATGGCAAGTTAGAAGGTCAGTATTACAATATTATGTCCCCCCTCACTCCTCTTTTGATGTCAAAGAGTCATGTGGAATGCCAGGAGGTGGAAATTCATTTAATCAAAGACACAAGAATGCAACTAAATTTAAAGCAGGTGTTCATGTAGGATATTGAAAAGTTTCTTTAAAAGCAGTGGTTTGGTGTCCATGAGTATTCATTTTATCTTGGCACAGTAAGTCTATGTCTGCAACTCCTGTCAGGAAATAACTCCTAATGAATGCTGTTCTGTGGTGCAAGTGGTTGTTACTTCAGTACTGACCTAAGTGAATAGCTTTTGATTTATTAATCCACTGAATGTTTAAGAACATGCCTTTTTGTTTTAAACATTGTATTAGCCAGGCTGTATTTAGAATCAGGCATGTGAAATGAAATTAAATGAAGTTAAATTACTGACTAAGAAAATTTTGAATTGTATTTTGAAACTGCTAGTGAAAGAGCAAGAAATGTAAGTTAAATTGGTACTCCAGTCCATGATTTACAAAAATTACAAAGCAATAAAAAATATGGACAGTGCTAACAGTTGACAGCAGGAAAACTGACAGAAAAAATATACTGTAACTTTAACTTCCATTACTGAATAAAGTTTTTTAGTAATAAATAACATAATACTTTCTTTGGATTAGTTATTGTTTGGATTTCAAATATTTGACAAAGAATTCTGCATTCTGACCTACAGAGTCACATTTCATGATGCTCTTCACTTGTATTTTCATTGAAAAATTTGGTTGCCTTTTGGAGTACAGTGGTTGGTCCTGCAGTTTTGGTAACAATGAAATAGAGAATTTGTGATAGGGAAGAGCTCTTTTCACTCATCCCTTTGCAAGGGAAGTATTGACTCATAGATGTTACATATTTTTCTGGGGCGTTTTCTCATTATTTGCTAAAATGAAATTAGCCAGTATTTGAAAAGAGGAATGAGAAGGCAGAAATACTTTCCCAGTAGCTTAAGGAATGTTACTTCTTATCTGTCTTATTTTTTAAGAAAGCTAGAAAAGTAAATAGAGCAGTAGAGAAGTAAATGAGTCACAGGATGTATTTTCAGAGTGCTTTACTGAAGAGCTAAATCTAGGCCCACTGCTGTGTGTTACTTGAATACCTGCTTGGTCGGGTCATCTTTTCTTTATTTTTTTAATTCCTCTTCCCCATTACTAAAAGCCCCTCCCTTTTTCCCTAGTTTTCTTTCAGCTTTGACCAAGTCTGTATAATGTTTTTCTGTGATGATAACCAAATAAACAAAGTATGGTGTCATTCCTGATTAGCACAGTTTGTAACAATATGACATCCTGGCACAAAATGTTTATTTGAGCCCAAGGTGTGTCAGTTTGTTCTGGTGGTTTTCCCTTCAACATACAGTTCAGGTTGTTAGTTGCATCCATCTGACTGCAATATACTATAATTGTAAATCCACATTAATGAAACCACCATCATTTATCTAGAGCCTTATTTGTTGTCTTGCTTTGGCCTTAAAGATAGAAGGCACATTTATTTTTTGTAAATGTAATTTTGAATTGGCAAACTCACCACACCACTCAAACATAACAAAACAAATTAAGAAAAGGCAAAAGCACATTCTGTCTTCTCTTGAATTGCTCTTCAGCAGTCACAGATGTCAGTGTCATGTACACATTACTTTAACAACATATTTGTCAGTCTGGTTAACCCTCTTTTGTTTTTGTGGTTTCACAGGCAAATCGTACCTGCCCGATTTGTAGAGCTGATGCTTCAGAAGTGCATCGTGATTCAGAATGACCGATCTAAGAGCACAAATCTGGTTTGGGTGTTTCTGGTCACATGTATATGTGAACTCTCTATTGAACTTACCTACCCATGTGGCTTCCAGCCTACCCTTTACACAAAAGGGTCAATGAACCTTACTTTGCACTGTGTGACTTAATCAATTATAAAGCTTATAACTAGTCTTCACAGTTACGGGATTGTTATACTAACAAGTGTGATTGGAACTCCAAAGATTTTTTTTTTTAGCTTAATTTTGTGTGTGCACTAACATTCCCTGGGTTTTGTGTGATCATTCCAAGTATTGCTGCGAGATTACTGTGGATGTGATCTTTTAGCATAGCTTTTATATAAAAAAAAAAAAGAAAAAAAAAAGTGGTAGCTCCAAACAATATAGCAATCTACCTTATATAGAGCCTTCAGATACTGTGAGTGGGGATGAACAGTGTGACTGTGTTTGCCTGAGAGAGGGTGAGTGAAGTGTGCTTGTGACTGGGTGTGCCTGCGTGTTTGAGAACCTATATACCAGCATGTACTGAGAACGTATGTGTGTAGTAATAATTATGCTGCAATGTATAATCTTGTGTGTTATTTAAACAGTACTAGTACTGTACACTGGTTCCTTTCCTTGTGTTTGCAGTTGCACACTGAATGCGATGGGTGCAGCAATTACAGACATTTAGTATTTTGTCCCCAACGTACTTACAGGTGTAAAGACCTTTCTACCTACTACTATTCAAACAGCTGTTCTGCTTCCCCTTCACTGGAGGCTTTAAGTGTGTACCACTAAAGAATGCATTGATTCTTCATACATGAGTAACCTTGGGGGTTTTATCATATGTTACAAAGTCTGGATTTTTTAATGGCTGATTTACAAGTTATTTTATCAATGTAGAGTCACAATATCGCATTTAGCAATATTAATGTTTTCAATTGCTGAAATATATCAATGTTTTTCTGTTTTCCTTTTAAATTTTTCTAGCTGGGTTTACCAGTTATGTGTTTCTTTCATGAAAGGAAGCAGGAAATACACTGGGGGTGTCCTGGTCTTGAGGAACAGGTCTTAGCTTTTGCCCATTGTATTTGCTAAGGACATCGTCTTCTAGCTTATAAACATTGGCTTTAATTACATTCATTCTTTGTCATCTGCAAGGAAGTTGGTATGTAACTAAAATAACTTGTAAAAGGTTACAATTTTATTCCTGTGACTTCATGAATAAAATACATTTTTTAGTGTTTTCTCAGAAAAGTAGAATTTCATATTTCTTTCACCCTATCACAAGAGGAGGTAGGTTTTGGTCATAACCTGCAGAATTCAGTTGCCCTGATGCTGCTTCTTTCCCTTCCTTATTTCATGATGAGTGTAATAGGAAGAAGGAACTCCTAGGTTTTTGCAATCAAGTTTCCAGAGTGCTCCACTAGAGGAGAAATTTGGAATACTTTCCAGAACAGTGCTGTGAAAAAAGAGGGGATAATGTCTATTCAAGTGCTCTGAATAATATTTTATTTGGGCCATTGAAAAAAAAATTAGCTTTTTTGTAACATTCACACTAACATCTCTGATGTGTTCTAGCAAAATATTTAGGTCTGCATATACCACAATTGTGGATAGGATGCACTTTTTGCAAAGAAACTCTTCTCATAAATTCAGTGTCATTTCTTTGGTTGCAGCAGCAGCACAAGTGGCACAACTAGCAGTATTGCTACAACTTGCTGCCAGTCTCAGCTTTAAGTTTATTCTTTATAATTTCTGATGCTTTGGTATACTGCTATGCTTTAGTATCAGTTAAAATTTCAAACAGTGTTAGATGTTCTCCATGCCTGTTTTCTTCTTTGAAGATTTTACAGACCAGTCACAGCTCTTGGTGCAGCTAAATAAAAGCACAATTTTGCCCCATTTCATATGTTTTTCCCTCTGTTTAGTTATGCACATAGTTCTCAAAAATAGTGATGCTTTCTGTACGTGTCCTTACTTAGGAACACTAAATAAATAAAAATGCTGTTACTTCCACTTCAAAATACTAGAATTTCTTTTTCCTCTCTTCCAGTGGAGTTAAAGAATAGACTTTTCACAATAGCACCTAGCAGGTTAAATAATATGTAATAAAATTTATTTTTTTAACAAATAAAATCATGTTTAAAAAGCATATGCCACGTATGTCTTACAAAACTTAGCCTCTTTTATAAAACTGCAAAAGAAAAAGAATCCATGTACAGATTTAAACATGACTAACATTTCTGTGTTTAGTATTCAGTTCAAAGCATGGAAAGAGGGTACTTTTTCTAAACTTGATACAAGTAGACAAGACACATACTTCTGAAACTGAGGGAAAGTAGTTCTCTTTCTGGAACTGGAGAAATGTCCCTTTTCCCCCACTAAAATCCAGTGAGACAGTGGGAGATCTAGGAGATGGAGGGTCTAAGTTGGTAAAATCCTGCAATTAATTGTTGCACTCTTATGGCTCATCTCTTCTGGAATGATTCTTCGGTTTGCTTGGATGAATGGGGACTTGTTTCCTGTGGTAGTGTGTACAAAGAGCACACGTGCTTATGTTTTGAATCAGCTCAGACAGGCTACAACCACATCTTCTGTGGTGGCTGTCAAGGGCAGGGGATTTACGTTCAGCTCTTAACTGCCATGTATTATGCACAGCTGCCGTGGTGCCTGACAGCACCTGCATTCAGCAACACTTTTTTTATCTTCATTGCCTTTCTGCCATCCAATGACTCTTTTTTTTCTCCAGAAAACACAAGAATATCCAACCTTCAATGTGTTTGCTTTATCATATTGGCACTGCTGTGTTTTTTTGCATAAATGTCAATTTAATTTGACATTTTGATGGATATCAAGGCCTACAGATAATTCCAGTGTCTCATTTTTTGGCTTTCTTTAGAAAAAGAAGTAGGGCCGTGTGTTGTACGTCATTTGGTAGAGGCTCTTGAATGTGACTTCACAGCTCTTAGTACAATGCATAATACTTGGGATGAGACTTATCAACTGTTTTAATTTTAATTGTAGAAAACAGTTTCAACTGAGTTATCTTTGGGCCTTTGTAAAAGCTGTGTTTTTTTCCTTTGGTACATTGTTACCTCATTTTGCTACTTGTGTTTCAGACTTGCTAATTATTATGAAAGCTTATGGTTTTTGTTGGAATCATATTTTGTTAAGTGTTTTCTTTAAATCATATGCTATTGTATCATTTAACATGTAGTTTTAAATGTATTATAAATATCTGTAACCAAATCATTTGAAGGCTTGATAAATTTTTAACAAAATTTGTACATTTTTTATGAGAGTTACTAGTAATGCTTTACTAGGTAGTGCAATGAATTTTTATTTTTAATCCCTGTGCCCAATTTTGGAGTTGAGAGAGTTGTTCGGTAATAAATGTATGATGTACACTTACACAATTTTGTCCTGTTCTTTCTCTGAGGGATGTATGGTTTTCTTTTATTACTGGCCATATTTCTGTGCATCATCATGCAAATTGAAATACTACTGGCAACAGCCACTTGTGTTGTAGGTGTTTTGCCTCCTTAACTGTAGCACACAACTTTAGAAATTCTTATGTTCAGAGAGCCTCAGAAACTGATCTGAAATGCTGAAATGTACCATATTTCTGAGAGTGTGAGAATTCAACATACTCAAAGCCTTGTGTTCTAAAGATCTTATTTACTTAGCCAGAAGAAACTTTGCAGTGATGAACGTGCTTCTTAGAAATACTGTTTGCACTGTGAATCAGCTGAAGAGATGTGTTACACTTTTGCAGTGCCCTAACAGTAGTAAGTGATGCATCCTGAATTATAATGGTTTCATTAGCCAGGGTCACACAAGAAACTGGTAGTAAAACAAAACCAAAAAGAAAGAAAATAAAAGGAGTTGTGTGATTTTGGTTTTAAGATACGTAAACTAAGTTGACAGATATAGTTTTTTAAGAGGTTTTCATTTACATGGGACATTTAGTAGCTGCATCTATAGCAGGTGTTCTAGGTACTCAGACATATTTGAAGATTAATTCATGCATTGGACAATCCTTATGCAGGTTCACACACATACCTTTTGGATTTGGGCGATGTTGGAAAAGAGAAAGGTATCAGTCTGTGAGCTCAGATACTTGCAAAGTCACATTTTTTGCATGAGAGTATATTGCAGAGCAGCTTCCAGCATCTTCAGTAGTTTGGCCATGACCAGTCCTAGCCTGAAGAGCAGAATTGCTCTGCTTCTTTCTCCTGATCTGCTCTCTGCTCCCCACCTTCATGTCACAGTGTCTCAGTCTCTTCCTCAGCCTGTGCAGTGTCTGTCTTTGCTCACAGTCCTGTGTTACTGCTCCCTGAGAGTCTCCTGGCATTCTCATTAATTAGCTCACAATTTCTGTTGCTAACTGCTAGTAAATCATATCACTGCCACCAGCTACTGCATCCTGTGTACTCTTTTGTGATTCAGTTTTCCTTTCTTGCTTTCAACTACTCGTTTCTCTATCTCGTGTGTCTGCTGTAACCCTCCTTCTCCCACAGCTCACACAGTGGTGCACACAACCATCTGACTTTTAGATGTGGTATTTCCTTGCAACTGATTCGCCTTGCAAATCTGTGATTTGCGTGCCCACAGTGCTTATCAACTGATTCAGGAATGATAGCATGCTTAAGAAAAGATGGAGTTGCTCATTTCTTATTTAGTCTCACATGTGCAATAGACAGGTTTGGCTTTGCAGGAGCAGTGGCATTGCTGCAGCTTTTGTCCAGTTCTAGCCTTTGCTAACCTTGGTAGGTGTAGATGTAGTTATTTAACAGCATAAGGATCTTCCCTTAGCTATGATTCTTGGAGGAACTAGGGTACACTGCCAAATCAACTGCCCTTGTCCATATAGGAGACTTCAACTTGCCAGAAATCCACTGCTGGTACAACACAGGTCGTAACATTCTTAAAAACCTTGGTAACGGCTTTACAGAAGTGAAGGGAGCCAGCTGGGGAAGATTCCCTCCTTGACCTGCTGTTTGTCAACAGAGAGGATCTCGTGAGTGAAGACTGGCTCCACCTTGGCCACAGTGACCACAAAGTGGTTAAAATCTTTGTTGATGTGAGAGAAAATCCCAGCAAAACCTCAGTTCTGGAAATGAGGAGAGCAGTCTGCTCAGGGAATTAGTAAGTAAAATCCTCTGGGAAAATGTGTGGGCAGATGCTGGGGTCCATGCTGCTGGTCACTTTTTAAACATCACCTAGGGGCACAGTAAGAGGCAATTCCCAAATGTTGGAAGTCAGGCAATGAGGCAGGAGGCCATCTTGGCCGAGCAGGCATCTTCTCTTGGAAATAAGGCAAAAAGTAAAGTATATGCTCAATGGAAGTAAGGTCAAGTAACATGGACAAAATGCAGAGATGCTGCTTCCCACTGTAGTGAGAAAATTTATGCAGTCAAAGCTCAACTGGAGTAGAAGAAATGGGGACAATAAAAACAGTCTTTTCAAATACATTAATTGCAAAAGGCAGTGTTGAAGTAACATCAGCCTGTTACAGGATGACCAAGGTCACCTCAGAAACAGAGAGGTGGCAAGGCAGAGGTGTTAAATGCATTCTTTGCCTCTGTCTTTAACACAGATTATGGGCTGTGTTATGATGGACCCCCAAGGGGGTCTCAGTGCCCTGGGCTGGAGGACCGTGACTGTGAGAAAGATCAATTTCCTTTTGACCCTGAACTTGTGCAGGATCCTCTCCATCTGGATCCCTGCAAATCTATGGGGCCTGATGGGATTCATCCAGGAATCCTCAAAGGATTTTGCCATCACAAAGCCTCTCCCCGTGGTTTTTGAGCAGTCTTGGGAATTTGGAGTGGTTCCAGCTGATTGGAAGCGGGTCAGCGTTATCCCAGTTTTCAAGAAGGACAAGAAGGCAGACTCCTAAAACTACAATGAAGCCTCACTTCACTGCCAGGTAAAATTGTGGAAAAGATTATTCTGGGAGTACAAAAACACTTGGAGGACAACCCTGTCATCAGTCACAGCCAGCACAGCTTCATGAGGGGAAAATCCTGCTTGTCCAACCTGATTTCCTTCTACAGCAACATAACCCAAGGGAACCCAAGCTTGCTTCTGCAGCAAGCTGACCAAGGGAAGCCAGGTGATGTAATCTTTTTGGATTTCAGAAAAGCTTTCCATACTCTGTCAGTATCTTTCTGGATGAAACATCCAGCACACACCTGGATAATCACACAATGGGATAGGTTCTGGCTCATGGGTCAGGTGCAAAAGGTTACAGTGAATGGGGACATCAGACTGGTGACTGTCACTGGTGGGGTTCCACAGGGCTCCATCCTTACCCCTGTGCTCTTCAACAGCTTAATAAATTACCTGGACACAAGACTGGAAGTAAGTTTGCCAGCAACACCTGACTCAGACCACTGGAGCCCAGGCTAGCTCTTAGGACTGGCACTGCGCCAGGAGCGGGGAACAGCCAGGTTTTGGGTTCTGCCCACAGCTGAACCTGAAAAGCCACTTGCTCTCCAGTGCAGACAAAGACAGTGAAAGAGACTAAGCTAAGACAGCTCCCAGCACCCATCTGCACGGATTTTTAATGAGCCTTGACTTAGGGGGTGGTTACAAATAATGATCCAATGAGGAATTTTCAGGGGAGGAGTGAGGAGAATACATCACTGGTTTGGGACCAATCAGGACTGATGGGAGGAGCGGGTAGGTCGCATGGGCCACTGGGGTTTTCGAGGTTTAGGTATTCCAAAGGTGTGTCACAATCAGGGATTGGCCCTAAGGGGAGAGTGACAGGGAAGGTTTAGAAAAAGGGACTGGGTAGCCTTGACAGGCAAGGGAAGAAGTTGGAATGAAGGGCGGAGAAGGGCATGAGGGACAGCTTTGAGGGAGGGTACAAATCAGGGTTGAACCAACTTTGGGGAGAACATAGGGGCACAAAAGAACAAACCATTAAACAATAAAGTAAAACAAACATGAACCGCAACAAACACTAAATTGGGAAAGCTGTCTACTCCCTCAGAGGCCTTGCAGAGAAACCCGGACAAATGAGAGGGCTGGACAGGCATCACATGTATGAAGTTCATTGAGGGAAAGTGCTAGATTTTGCGGCTGGGACATGGCAACCCAACGGGAATTACAGGCTGGAGAGTAGCTCCATGGAAGGGGACCGTGGAAAGCGACCTGGGGGTCCTGGTCAGTGACCAGTTGAGCACGAGTCAGCAGTGCCCTGGCAACCTGGAGGGTCACCCATGTCCTGGGGTGCATCAGGAACAGCATCACAGCCAGGCAGGGGAGGGGATTGTCCTGCTCTGCTCTGCTCTGCACTGGGGCAGCCTCACCTCCAGTGCTGGGGGCAGTTCTGGGTGGCATAATGGAAAACAGACATTAAGCTTTTGGAGAATGCTCAAAGGGTGACAGTGACACTGGTGAAGGGTCTGGAAGTGAAGCTGTATGAGGAGCAGCTGAGGTCACTTGTTCTGTTCAGCCTGCAGGAGACTGAGGGGAGACCTCATTGTGATTTTCAGCATCCTCTCAAGTGAGGGGCAGGCACTGATCTTTGACTCTCGTGACCAGTGACAGGACATGAGGAAATGGCATGAAGCTGAGTCAGGGGAGATTGAGGTTGCATTACCAGAAAAGGTTCTTCACCCAGAGGGTGTTTGGGCACTAGTACAGGCTCCCCAGGGAAGTGGTCACAGCACGAAGCCTGAAAGAGTTAGAGAAAGGTTTGGACAATACTCCTGGGCACTTGGTGTGATTCTTGGGGATGGTGCTGTGCAGGGCCGGGAGTTGGACAGAATGATCCTGATAGGTCCCTTTCAACTCAGCGTGTTCTATGAGTTTGTGAATTACTGCATCCACAAAGCTCTGTGCTTTTTCAAACACACAAATATTCTGTCTGTGAGCCATCAGTTCTGAAATGCCTATTCTGCCTAACACAGTCTCACATGCTGGCCTTTGCAGTGGATTGCACTGTGCCACTTAACACATCACTGTGTCTCAAAGTGCGATTTCCAGTTGTGAAAGAACTCCAGTACTATCAGACTTCTAGCACTTAGAACAAAATTCAGCAAATCTTCATTTTGATACGGACATCTTGGAAAGGCTCATCCTGGCACCACCAGAAGAATCTAAAGTTAACAGTTGTGCAGATGCCCAAGCCAGCAGTCCTCCATGATAAATGTCTTGGGAGATACCCCACCAAGTTCCTCTGTCTCTTCCCATGGATTTGTGTGTGCAGGAGTATAATTTTCACCGCACCATGTTTGCTAGGGTTTGGAGAATGTTGTTTTGGGTTTTTTTTGAGAAGTGATTAAGGGAAGAATGTGGAGGGAGAAGTTAAGAAGTAATTCATAGCTCATTTGAGTACTAGGAGCTTGGGCCATCATATACTCTTATTTGAAAACTGAAGATAAAG